ACTCTTCATTATATATAGTACATATAATGATATACACTCCTTATTAAACATAGTACACATACACTCTTCATTATATAAATGGTACACATAACTTCTCATTATATAAAAAAAAAAAAATTTTGTTACATGAAAATTTTAAATTCCTTAGAGTGTGATTTTAACTTTTTGAGACTAACTTTTCTTTTATAAGATTTAATGTGTCAAGGGATGTTAGTGTTTTATAAAGGTTGTTGTTCGTTAACGACGACTCATTAAGAGAGGACAAGAACGGAAACCGACCTGAAGAACATCAGTAGTTTTACAGATAATGTCAAGAAGTTTTAGCTCCCCAACAACTTTTTACCTTCATGTATGACAACATTCGAAAATGTAGCATGTAATTTTTTTTTTAAACGATCATTTACATATTTATGAATGACCAGTTTTTTACAAATAACTGTTACCCTGTCTTACAAAAAAGAAGACAAAATGAAAAGGTTTCGGTCATATAAAAAAGTATATAAACTTTAAAAACCCTGTTCTGCTAATGTTTGTTGATTTTATTATACATATATATATATTTTTTAGTATTGACGAAAACGGCGAATAAATGCCAGAAAGGGGGGGCCAAACCCCCTGTTCCCCCTAGCCATACACCCCCTAGGCCCCCCTTAAGCCAGAGGCAGGCTCTAATTTATTAAATAGTAAACTTACATATCCCAGGAAACACAACTGGATGATACAACTAGATGATAAACTCTACTTCAAAACTACACTTAAACTCTAATTAAACTCGACTTTTTGAATCCCGGTTTTTACCAAGTCAGGGTGAAAACTTTCATTTTCAAATTTAAAAACTCCACTTCAAAACTCCACCTGAACTTGACTTTGACTCCACTTTTGAACTCCAGTCACCAGCTGGGTGAAATCTGTATGCATAAACTCGACTTAAACTTAACTTTTTGAATCCCAGTTTTTACCAAGTCACAAGCTGGGTGAAATGTGGGTGAAAAAAACTCGACTTAAACTCAACCTTTTGAATACTAGTTTTTACCAAGTCAGGGTGAAAACTTGGGGTTCAAAAATAGACTTCAAAACTCCACTTAAACTCGACTTTAACTCCACTTTTTAACTCCAGTCACCAAATAGGTGAAATCTGGGTGCATAAACTCAACTTAAACTCGAATTTTTTAATCCCAGTTATTACCAAGTCAGAGTGAAAACTTGGATTTCAAAACTCCACTTCAAAACTCCACTGAAACTCGACTTTTACTCCACTTTCACTAACTGGGTGAAATCTGGGTGCATAAACTCAACTTAAACTTGACTTTTGAATCCCCAGTCACGAAACCTCAACTGCACAAAAATAAATTTTTAAGTAAGAATTTAATTATGCTTGATGATTTTTCAACAAAATTGATATGTAAGAAATTTTATGCAACTATTTTGGAAAATACAATGTTTCAAAATTTCTATCATTTTGGAGTTAATCGATGTTTTCATTAAAATCAACATCAGTAAACTCTTGATTTTTTGATAAATAGAAGTTCCACTTAGATAGCCTTGTAACAGGTATAGAGGTAAGTTAATACAGTACTATATATATTGAATATGTAGTACTTAAATATGTGTGCTGTATGTATTAGGGTTTCCATTTTTCCGGAAAATAAATTCCATTTTAGAAATGGAATAATCCGGAAATTTGTTGAGTAAACCGGAATTCCGGGATAATTCCGGATCAAATGGAAACCGGAATGTTTATGGTTTCCATTTTGTAAACCGGAAACTTTTCCGGTTTACGTAACGCAAACCATAAAATTTCCAGTTTCCATTTCAAAAACCGGAAATTTTAACACAATATTAGTCATAGTGAGCAATGTTAAAACATTAAAAATTTAAATTAATTATTAGTAGACATATATAAATATATATACTTAAGTAGTTTACTATAGTTCATCATGACTATTTTACAGTTACAGTTTTACTTTCCCCACAATATTTTTTGACAAATTAGTTTTTAATTTTCAAGAGGTTCATCGGATAGGCTTATGCCCCCCTTCCCACCTCCGAATTTGATCAGGATGGGATGAAATGAACCATATAAATAAGAGTTTAAAAAAACTATAGGCTTTAAACTGATGGATTTTTTCCCGCATAAATTTTTAATTAGTCTTAAACTTTCCCTTGGGCCATGTGAGTTGCCTCACAAATTTTGGGCTTGGTTGGTTCAGCTGTTTTGACTCTTATTGGAAACAAACGGACAAACAAACAGACGAGCAAAGTATATAAATAGAGTGAGAACCAGAAAACTCCGGAATAGGAGGACGACTTTTAGACTTAAATTATGACTCTAAATAGTTCAATGAACATGAGACACAACAATTACGAGTATATACTATACTGTATACAGACCAATTTAAAAGTGATTTTGTAAGTTACTATTTAACCTATTTGCTTTGTAACAACATCAATCATATATAAGATTGCTCTATTTGTCGTCTACCTTTCCACATTTTTCTGTGGATGAAATTATTTTGAGACATGGCAGTTAGGATTTATATTATTTCATGATAATTCACAGTAGTTTTACTTTAAATACAGCTACACCAGGTGCACATTCTATTATTCTGCAGATAGTATTACTTACTGGTTTTATCTTTTACATAAGTTTAAGATGTCTTTAATGTTTTCTGGACCCTTTTTCGGGAAAATTCCAGAACAATAGTTCCGTAAATCGGAATTTTCCAGAACAATATTCCGGAACAACGTCCAGGAAATTTCAATTTTAAGGAAAAAATCGTTCCGGAAATCGTTCGGAATTCTTGATGTCCGGAACCTTTTCCATAATGGAAATGGAAAAAATTTCCGGATCATTTCCGTACTTAAACCGTAACCTGGAATTCCGGTGGAAACCCTAGTATGTATGTATGGGTGTTAATTTAGTTTATTACAGATGGAGGAATGATGATGGGGTGAATTTTTGAAGAAGAATACTGGATTGGATTGGTGATATTGGTGATGATATGTGGGTGATATCATCTGGATATCATCTAGATATCATCCACATATCATCCATATATCAGCCATATATCATCCAGCTAGATATATCCATATATTACAAAAATTATCCAAATATCACCCAAATAACAGCCAAATATCACCCACATTTCATCCAAATATCATCCATATATCACCCACATATGGTCTAAATATCACCTGGTCGATATTTTTTACAACCCCCAACTTGATGAAAAGTGAAGTTTTAATTAAGATATGGAACAACTATTGCAGAAAAAAACTCCACTTTGAAATTTGATTAAAACATAACTTCTTATTATCCAGATATTACCAGAATATTATCCAAATATCATCAAGAAATCATCCAGAAATCATCCATTTTAACAACCCCCCCCCCTACTTGGTGAAAAGTCGAGTTTTCATCCAGATATGGCACGACTATTGCAGGTAAAAACTCCACTTTTTAACTCAATTAAAACTTCTGGAAGGCAACAAACGAGTTTTACTTGATGTTAACTCGAGTTTTTGTTTACTAGGATATATTCAGATTTTTTACTTTTCTGATCAATCGACAATGTCACAATTTGTCCATTTTATGATTATTTTTCAAATTCTTTCTTGTACCTTAATCTTATTTACAATATTCAGGTAGATTAATATAGATTTTAAACTTTGTTTTTTTTTCTTAACACCGGATTTATAGGGGGCCAGAGGTGTACATAAACTGTTAGGTTGGTGCACAAAAAAAAATTTCGGCGCACTTATGCGTGCTAGGCTAAACCTCCACTAGGCACCTGATACTAGAATTATCTTCCACTACAAGGGTAATTTGAAATAGTCACTTTAATCTGGGTCTTTGTTCTGGATCCTGGTTAAGTCTTTACTCTAAAATTCCTCTTTATATCTATTATTTTATTGTGACCAAGTCCAGTAGTATCCCTGATGGGGTACTGGAAAAACAGGATACGCTGGGGGTAAATCCCATATTTCCAAATATAGAAAATGATACATCATTCTAACGCTCTTGTGCTCTACTTTTAGAATCTGCAAAAAAAATGTAAATTGGCAAAAATTGTAATTTTTGTTGCAAAATCCAGATAAATAGTAATAACATTTGCAAAAAAAAATCCAAAAAATGATAAAATTACATTTTTAAAAAGTCCTTAACCATGCTATTTAAATTGCAAAAAAATTGCAAAATTTTAAATAACCTAATGTGTAATTAAGAAAAGCCAAAAATGTGCAAAGAGCGTTTGACGGGTTAAATGCAAAAACTGTGCAAAAATGTCTGTTCAAAACTTGTGCAATCTATTTCCTTATGTCAACTATAAGTGGGTCAAAACAAATATTTAGTTTGCTACAGGAAAAAGGAGTCATTCAGGCAGTGTGCCTGAGGATTCAGGCAGTTTGTATAAAAGCCTGGTTTTAGACCTACTGTTTTAGGGAGGGCTTGAGGTATTTAGAAAAAGTCAGAAAATTTCAACAACCTCAGACCAATACTTTTTGAATTTTGTAAAAAAAAACATGGGGTAGGGGTTCAAATCGACCCCCCCCCGCCCCCAGCAGGGATAAGGTTAGAGGCATTTCATGTCTTAAAAATCTGTTTTTTTCTTCCCTACCAGTAATATTGCCATCTGATCTCTATCTCATATTTCAAAGCAAAGAATACAATCATGTATTTGAGAGCGATTTCAAATGTTTACATATTGTTTTGTTTCATATAGTAGACTAGTTCCACACAAAAGACTGATATTTATTAATGGATTAAAACGCAAGAAATTCATTGGATTGTTAATTGATGTTGATTTCATAAGATAAGTAGTTTATAGATTTTTATTTTCTTTATACTTAAATTAAAAAGTTTTCAGTCCATTATTCCTAGAATGGAAGTTCCTAGTCCAATCCCAAGAATTAGAAACGCCACTGCTAAATGTTCCAAACCCAGCTTTTCCTAGATTAAGGAGCTAATTGGTCATTAAAATAAAATTAGACCAATAAAAGTTTGGGTGTTAGAGAGGGTTGAAAAAAAGAGTCGAAAAAATTTTAAAATATTTCTTTGTTTTAAACAAATATCAAGATGTGACACATTTTTCTACTCCCATTTTTCAAGGGATTTTTAAAAATGTAGTTTTTTTATCTGTAGATTTAGTTATTTTATTGGCTATTTAAGATTATTTAAAACACAGACCAGACACAGTCCTCATTAATCATATTTTACCTCATAGAAACGATTAGGGGTCAAGACATAGCAATTTGGAATCCTCAAGAATAGAAATTTAACATAGACTAAGTGTGCAAATCCACATAAAACTCCATTCTAATTATTTGCAAAATGACCACATGAAATAGGTTTTTTTTTATCTTTTAAGATCAAACCCCCATTTTAAAGTAGTCTCTTAGAGCCCACAAATATCATTTTAAATTTGAACAAGGAGTGCTCATTTGATATTTTTCGATTAGATGCCTCCTTTTGGAGTCTGGGAAGAAAGCATCATCAAGTTGGAGACCCCCATATTTTTGAATGATACCCCGTATTTTCATTAAAGTCCCCCTTATTTCCATTAAGGACCCCCTTATTTTCATTAAGGACCCCCTTATTTTCATTAAGGACCCCCTTATTTTCATTGGAGATCCCAGATTCTCATCGGAGACCTCAGATACTCGTTGGAGACCCCCATAATGACAATGGAGACCCCAATAGTTTCATTGAAGAACTCAAGATTTTCATTGGAGACCCCCAGATTCTTATTTGAGATCCCAGTATTTTCATTGGAGACCCCAGATTCTTGCTAGAGACTGCCTTATTTTCATTGGAAACACCGTACTGTTGTTGGAGACCCCCCAGATTCTCATTGGAGACCCAGATATTTTCATTGGAGACCCAATATTTTTGTTTGAGACAACAATATTTTCGTTGGGGGCCACTAGATATAAATTGGAGACCCCAGATTTTCGGTATGTTCTTTGGGATTTTCATTGGGGACCCTAATATGGGGTTCTCCAACGAAAATCTGGGGTCCCTCTAATGAATGTACGGGGGTCTCTAACAAGAATCTGTATGTCTCTAACTAAAATAAGAGGGTCTCCATTATCAATTTGAACTCTTCTCAAGCTAAAAGAAAATGACATTCTTCATCTGATAAAAGGGGTAAAGTTGAGAATCAGGCAATTTTCTCATAGTTTGATTTTTGTAGCTTAAGCTTAGTGTTCACTAAAGTTAGGACATAAAAATTGAATTTAAAGGTCTAAAAGTTAATCACTATAACCCCAAGGATCAACTAGACAGGATACAGGGTTGACGCGTACCTGTGTCTGACAAACCATTATGCGTCGTTTGAAAGTGCTTAATGCTGGAACCTTATTGTGCAGGATGCACAGTGGTAGTACAGTAGGGCGCAATCTCAATCTTTTTGCAAATTAGAAGCTAAATGTGTGTAACGCCTGTAGAGTTAGATACTATCATAAAGCTAACAACCAGAATAAGAATAAGAAGAAATTTTCGTTTTTGTAAACATGTATTTAAAAACCTTAATTAACTAGATTATATAGTAAATATACTCAGTCAAGCAGGGCGGACCGAGCCAACAATTTATCCTGTCTAGTTGATCCATGCTATTACCAAGGTTTCCTCCTGAACATATTTTGGCTCTTTCAGCTCATATCTGGTATACAAATACTCTTCAAATGCAGCCTGAAAAGTAGATTCCAACAGAAAACTTGACATTTTTGAATAAATCTTTATAATTATGATAATTCCATGGTTTTCTTTTTCTGCAATTTGCTGAATTTATTCTGACCAAAGTGAATTTTCATCTTTAGTGAATTTTGCTGGTAAATATTTGTAAATATAAGAGATTTATCTCCCCAAATTCACTGCCAAATTTCAGAAATTCTTTCGTAAATATATATCATGAATATTTATGAATTGTGTCTTTGTTATTCTAGGTGAAAATATAAGGCAATTTTATCTACATTAAAAAACAAAACATTCATATATATATGATATCTGAATGGGCTGAATTTTTTTTGGACACTCATGGGTAGCCCGGAAGTGTCTTAGGCTATAATTACTTTTTTTTTCAAAAATATTTTTTTCTTCAGATTTAAAATTTTTTTTAAATATTTATTTTCCACGGACAATGCCGGGCCCTCCAGCTAGTATTCTATATAACTAATTCCATATATTTTCTTGTAGAGTAACAAATTGCATGTTTTAATAATCTAAGTTTGAAACAAAGTCTTAAACTGTCGGGTTGAAAGGAAATAGGGAAAAAATACTTCGAGGAATGAACTCAATTTCTTCACAAACAAATTTAAAAATTTTGCTTGATTGCTACAAAAATTAAGAAAGAAAACATTATGTTTTAGCTACGCTCGGTTTGATCAACAACTAGTTTAAATAACTACTTTATTAACTTGACTAAAAAACTATATAAATTTACTTTAGAAAATCATATATCTTAATCGGGTGACGTGGCAGGAAATCTTAGAGCAGCTTGCCGCGTTCGAATATCCGGCTTCAGGTTGAATCGTCTTCCGCCACAGTACTACCCCCAAGAAGGCAGGGCGGAGTCACGGCGGAGCATAGCCTTCTTTCCTGACCTGTCTGTGAGGATTCCGTCTTGGCATAACTGTAGGTTGGTTCAGGAACGACACAGACTTCTTCTTGGAGGCGGATGACTTCGCGGCGGAAGAATGAACAGGAGGATCCTTTGGTTGACGAAGAGGAGGACGTCCACGAGGCGGAGGAGCTGCAGGTATCACTGGAGAATCCGAGAACACTGGTTTAAGACGGTCCACGGAAACTGAGTCTACCTTGTCACCAATCTGGAGGCGGAAGAACTTACTCCCCCGTTCAAGAACTAGGTAAGGACCACGATATAGAGGACTTAGTGAAGGTTTGCTTGCGTCCTCTCTAACAAATACAAACTTGGTGGTCCTGAGAGCTGCAGGAACTTCAACTGGAGGCGAATACTGAACGTGTATCCCCTTTAACTCTCAGGTAGTATCAATAAAAAACCTTCTGAAAAATCAACTATATACAAATGCGTCGAAAAATATACCCCCTATCATTTTTTGCGAACACACTCTTTAATGGGAATTCAAAACTTAGAAATTATGATTTATTTTCAAAACTTTCTCAGAAAAGCAATTGCAGATCGAGAAGGAATGATATTTTTATTTTGGATTTTTTGAAATTTAAGTTTTTCTTTTGTTAGGTTCTCCATAGAAGTTTTTTTTTGCTTTTACACATACTGTTGCAAATATTATCTGAAAACTAGGTATCTTCAGCATTTTGTATCATTGGAGCTGTTTAAAACAAAGAACCACAGTAAGGAATAATTGAAATTGAATATAATAATGCAATAGTTTTTCAAACCTGATAAGTTATACCAACAAAATGATTAATAACTTCTGCCCAAATTGATTTTTTCTGTATAATCCAACCACCAACATAGGCTTGGGCTATTTTTTCCTAAAATATGACTTTCATATTTCATATTTTTATTCAACTTCAAAGCACAAGATAATACAAATAAAATATCACAATTTACTATTTAGTTTGGACCCACCTAACCAGAGTAGGATGTTTAAATTGGTTGGCCCTGTATAAAGGAATGATAATTGGAAATAAATACATGTTTGTGCACTGTACAGTCGGGTTGTGGTAGGTGGGGAGAACTTTTGATGAATTAAACTATTGTTTAGTTGTAGCTGACATGACCTTAGACCCCACCCCTCATAACAATTTTAGGTTTGGTTAAGTATTCTTCAGGGCTGAGCACTGTTGCTAGGATAGACTAGGGGTCCAATTGCATTGCAGCTAGGACAGGCTAGGATGCTACAAAGAACCATGAAACACAATGTTGGACGGTACAAAACAATGTTTTTCTGATATTTATTTATGTATTTATGTATAATGTGGTATTCTCTTAGATCACCTACAATCAAATCAATAAATGAAAAGGATCAAGTCCTGTTGACAGCCTTGATCCCTATTCTGTTTTTACCTTAATCCTCTTTAACCCTAATGTTTGCAGTAAAGTAGTATAATTATTAACTGCTATAAATGTATTGAACTAATCCTCATTTATTTTAGGATCTTGATCATCACTTGCTGGATCCTTTAGTACCCCATCCATAATCAAGGAGCAGATTCTCAGCAGCTTCCTCTGCAAGACCAGCAAGTAATTGAGTCTATCTTGAAGATGCATGTCCTCAGGACTACAGTAGGTTGTCCTCAAGATCCTAAGATGCGAATGTCTAATCAAATCCAAAGTCATAGTTGTAACCTGGGCAGACTCCACTGGATCCTCCAGAGGTCAGAGATAATGTGGGGAGAGCTTTGTCCTCAAAATCCACTTTATACTCATGATGGAGGCTGGATATCCTTGTTATCAGAGTCTGAGGCTGACAACCATCAGTTGATTACCTGGTCATCAGGTTCAACATAAAATGACGTTTTCTTTATCTGATAAGGCTAGAATGTCTTCATTCTCAGCCTCATCCTCTGGATATGCAGGGATGGTTACTATAGGCACATTACGCAGGGATGGATGGCATATCTGCATGCATCAAATTTGCTTAGATTTAGCATAATTTAAGGTAATAGAGAGCCGACATGTTTATTGAGAAAATAATAATGCGCATTTTTGACGTAAATTTGTATAATATTATTACGTAAATTTTACATATACTAAAACCAATAAATTTGCGTAGCTAAGTGTGGGATTTTACGTCTTTCATGACGTAAAAAGAACCAAAATCTATACGTAAAATTTACGTAAAAATGCGAAAAGTGACATTTAAATTGCGCTCTTTTTGCGCAATTTGGCTATCTGGGATACTATTTCGGGGGTGTGTATTAGAATTCTCAAGGAAGGGAGGGATTTTGTGTTTAACCACTCCCATGACCATTTACAACCCCATTCATAATGTATATCAAATAGTGGATTTTAGCTGGGTTTGATTTGAATATTCCGATCATTCTGGGATTAAAAAACTTTATTAAATAAAAGGCTCCCATTACCACCTTTCAGCTTTCAACCCTGAAGGTTGTCCTCTGTAAATTGAGACATTTTAAACAGCTGATAAATAGCAAATCCACCAATATGAAAAATCTCTGATGATCAGCCACCTTTGTCCTGGGAACAAATTAGTTGCAGTGTTTTGAATAATATTCACCCAGGCTGACCAACCTTGGGATAATTTACCCCAGAGAAGTTAAATGACATAAAAGTAGATCTACTTGTCTGAGAATATATCTAATCTCTGTAAGACCTCCATGTCTCTCAATTATATCTTGAGGATGGTATACTCTGTCCTCATAAATTCTTGCCATCTCTTCATCTTCTGGAGTTAGAGGACATATTTGAGATTCCAGAGGTGTAGCTAGGGTCGATCTATTGTAGAAATATCCACAGAATAGTTTAAGGAGAAACAGATGAATAAGAAGTAGGGTTACCATTGCAATACTTTTGCTCAAATTTTGCTAAAGGAAGTGCAAACTTTTGCTTTTGTTGTGCTACATTTTATGTTCTAAAAATAGCAATCAATAGTTCTGTTCTGCTCAATTTTGTGGAACAAATTCTTGTTTAAATGTTGAATATAGGGTTTCCAACGTAATAGATTATTCACTTGTGCAAAATTTTGGGCAGTTAAGTGAAATAATTTTCATTTTGTGTAATTTTGCAGGAATAAACGTAATTGGCAAAACTTCAATTTTGCAAAATTACAGCATAAGTTTGCATTATTTGTAAAGATGATGTTAACAGAGAGCGTAATACATTATACATATTCAACATCAAAAACAAATAAATTATGTCTACATAATTTTGTAAAATTTTGTAATAATTACGAATAACTAGGAAAACGTAATTTCTGCAAGGTAATTTTGCTAAGTTTTGTAATAATTATGCTTAATTAGCAAAACTTTGATTTCACAAAATTACGCTGTAATTTGCGTGAAATATTGTAATAATTATGACTAATTAGCGAAAATTCAATTTGAAAGTATTTATCCAACCAGATTTGACATGGTTGTAGCTTGCATATCCTTGCACAAATTTTTCACAAATGTTTCGTATCATGTAATTTTGCATAAATACACCTTAATAAGCAAAACTAGACTTTCTTTCATAAACGTAACTAACATGTAATTTTGTGTAATGCTCCTCCGTAAGTGTAAGAAAGTGAAAGAAACATAATTCCAACTGGAAACCCTACTTAAATATAGGAAATAGATATAAACTGTATAAATCTATAAGATTGCAATTTTTTTGCATACAATTGCAATTATTTAACATGAATTGATTACTCGCCTAAAATTCTACTTTAAACCTGATGAATGATGCTCACTTAAAATCAAGATGAGCACACTCTCACACTAAAAGTGAGCACTATTTTGAAAATTACTCCTTTTGACTTGAGCTGGAACAAGATATGTTCCATTTTTAGACTTTATATGTTTATGCCCACATGAGTTAGCGAGTTAAAACTAAAGGCTAAGGCATTGTGAAATTTTGAGGCTCTTTAAAACTTTGACCATTTGATTTGAAATATCATAAAAACAACTTTTTCAATTGCAATTTGTAAATTTCTATCTTTTTAAATTTAGACCTTAATTTGAAGTTTTAATAATTAAAAGTAACCAATTGGGAGAACATTCATATTTTTTTTTTGCTATGTACATTTCTTAATAAACCTAAATTTGTTAGATTATGTGCAACACTTCAGGTTTAGTGCAAATTAAGCAAAAAAAAACAATTAAGCCAATTTAGCACAAAAAGTATGGTCATTTCATGGAAACCCTAAGTAGATACATAATCTGAATAAGGACTGGCAGAGACTATTGGTGCATCTTAAGCAGAGAAAGAACTAATGTATTTTAAAATATAGTAGATGCTTTGTAACAGAGTTCAAAGTACATATTTTTATCAAAGAATGTAAGAACATGGTTGGAATCAATTATTTCTGTGTATGGGAACTCTGTTGGGTGTTTACAAAAACTAAAACTCCTTTTTTGTAAAAATCACAAACAAATGTAATAGATAATTAAAGAATTGATATTTGTGCTTTTATGAATAGTTAAAATGTATTTATATGTTTGAATTTTTTGTGAACATCATGTAAAACACTGTACATATTTTTAAATAAGTAAGTAAGTAAGTAAGTAAGTAAGTAATATTTATTGCATAATAACATGTTAACATATTAAAGTGGCAGGAGATATACAATTCGCAGGATTGCGGTTTACAACATAGATCTCATAATACAGTCATTGAAACAAATTATACATTCACAAGAAAATAATCCATTGGTAATTGATATATTTTTCATAACATGAATGGAATGTACAAGGTGGAGAACTGATGTGCTGGATGGCTGGAAAAGAGTCTCAATTAATAGCGGTCCGACAATTATTTCTGAATATTTTAAATGTAGAAAGTAATTAGCCCGTTTAACCTGTTTGATAAACAGCTGATTGTAAGAAGCAGTTAGCAGACTGATGTGCGTAATAAATGAATGCTTAGTTGGGAAGAATACACTGAATTTAAAAGTCTACAAGCTAAAAACTGGACAAAACAACCTTTCACATCGAACAGAATCAGGTATAATTCAAGGAGGAATTGTTTAAGTTCACGACTAAAAGCCATTGGATTCAATACTTCTTTAATTAGGGGATTTTCAAACTCATTACAAACAATTGGAAAATTACACAGAGGAAATCGTTTTACAATATTTAATGTATAAATATAGGCTCAAGGTTAAGGCTACGCCTTAAAATCTTACTATGAAATCTTGAAAAGAGGATATGATCAGTTGTAGCCATCCCTTGAGCTACTCTGTACCAACTCTGTACCATCAAAAAGGGGATTTTATTGATACTCTGGAATTAGCTATCCAAATCCCAGATTCTATTTTAATGAGCTTCTAGCAGCTCCCTTACAGAAGCAGCCTTCAACAGTTCTGCACCAGAGAAGCTCAGGGTTCTAGGATTCATCTATACCTGCTTCTAGCAGCTCCCTAAAGAAGCAGCTTTCAACAGTTCTGCACTGCACCAGAGAAGCTAAGGGTTCTAGGATTCATCTATACCAGCTCCAAGCAGCTCCCTACAGAAGCAGCCTTCTACAGTTCTGCTCCAGACAGCTCTGTGTTCTAAAGATTCAGCAATACCAGCAGTTGAGAAGCTCCCTAAATCCCCCTACAGCAACTAAGTCCACAGTCATAACGCTCCCATAGATTCTGTAACAAGTTTTTGTTATTAAACATTCCCAACCCCTACCATATAACATTTGATTAGACCTCAGGTCTAATTCCGCGGAGGATAAATCAGCTGAAGCTTATTCATTTATCAATTTAAGAGAAGAGGCTGAACACATGGACCTGACATATCTGAGAACTCTCTGAGAAACAGTAAGATTGAGCATTGTGCAAGAACCCAGACCTCAGGCTTAGGGAACTGTAACTGTTCGCCTTGAAAGTCTAGGATGTACTACTTGAATTGTTTTTACTCTGTGGATCAGATAATATCTTAAACTAAAGGAACATTCACACAACACTATGACAGTCAGGAATATTTTTTATTATTATTAGTATGCAGTGGTTGCAATTGATTTTTTCATCCTTCTAATCTAAGTAGACAATAATATAATATGACTATCTTAAATGTTAGTTCAAAGTCTTCTAAAAACAATAGTCATTATTCATCGCCTCAATATGAGATTTGAATGCCTTTTCATTTCTCCACAGGACCGGGAGGAGGGAAGTTAGACTATTAGTTAAATTAAATCATTACTAACGATGCTTGAATAAAATCTAAGAAATTAGTGATCTTCAAAACAGGATTTTGAGTATTTTGAGTTGTTAAAATTTTTGTAATTTTAAAAAAGTTATAAAATAATGACTTTTGATTGTATGTTATTAAAAAAAAGTTGCATAAAACAATGATTATTTGAAGTGCATAGAATAAAATTTTAATTAGAGACAAAAAAGGCACTATTTTTGTGATTTGAAAACTGCAAACCCAGGAACTGACAAAGATAAATCCTACAATTTAATATTGTGATTGATTAGGAGATTCACAATGTAGGGTTAAATAAAATGACAGTGAGATACATTGGGTGTGGGTTGGAGCCACATTGGGGTGAGCTTCTTTCTAAAAATCCATGTTGATATCAATTGTGTGTCAAAGAGAAAATGGGCATGGGTTACCTTGATGGAGAGGGAATTAGTGTAAAGGCTAGATTACTAGCAATGACAAGTATCTATTTATCATATCTGATTACGACTTTTTTGAGGTTTCAATAGTTTTCTTACATCACTTTCATAGAAATCATAGCTCTCAGGAAGCAAAAACTAAATAAAACAGTTTGTTCTAAAAGAGAAGTATAAGAATTTTGAAATCATTACCGGAGTATAAAAAACTAAATTCTTTAATCCTTTATCAGCAATAACATCATTCACTTCTTCCTATTAAAGATGTAGAAATAAATAAAAAGTAATTTGTCATTCTTAAAAATACCTTGTTAGAAACAATTCTGGCAGTAGTCATTAATTTAATAATATCAGGATCTTCAGATCTCTTAATTTTGTCATAAAAGACCATGAAATCACTCTCCCACACCACAGTCTTAAACAAATCTCCAAAATAAAGGAATTCAATAAAACAAAGAATTACCATGTCCCTCTCAGCCATTTGAGCAGATGTATCAAGAAAGGGGTCCCAGGATGGAAATAACAGCATGGCCCTACAGTTTTGAATTTGTATAATACCTTTACTTGGTTAGACAAAAGGTAAAAAACATTGATAATTTATATCCCATCAAGCAGTACTTAACCCTATCTCTGCTGGGGTACTTGAAAACCAGGATATGCTGGGGGGGGGGGTCAATTTGACCCCCCCTCTAAATCCCATGTTTGATGTCCAAATATGACAAATGATACATCATTGTGCTCTACTTTTAGAATCTGAAAAAAAATTTGCAAATTTGCAAAAATTAAATTTTTTATCGCAAAATCCATTTATATAGTAAAAATGTTTGCAAAAAAAAAATTTGTCCAAAAAATGATAAATTATACATTTTAGAAAAGCCCTTGACCATGCCATTTCAAATTATGCAAAAAATTTTGCAAAATTTTAAATAACCTGATTTTTAATCAAGAAAAACTAAAAATGTGCAAATTTCCTTTGACAGGTTGTTTGCAAAAAAATTGCAATTTTTTTTTCGCAAAACTTGTGCAATTCATTTCCTTATGTCAAAAGCTTTCCAAAAAGCTAAATTTTATCAAAATCTGACAAGTGGAAGTGGGTCAAAACAAAGATTTAATTTGTGACAGGAAAAAGCAGTGTGCCTGAGGACTCAGGCAGTTAGTATTAAAGCCCGGTTTTAGGCCTAAAGGGAGGGCTTTGGGTATGTAAGAAAAGTCAGAAAATTTCAACAGCCTCAGACCAATACTTTTTGAGTTATGTAAAAAAACTACAGGGGGGGGGGGTCAAATTGACCCCCCCCCAGCAGGAATAGGGTTAACAAAATATTGTGAAAATATTTCTGTAAGAAAATTGAGCTTGTCATTCAAGCTTTGTTAAATCTCCCAGATCAATTCTAAGTTTCTGAAGATCTCCCTCCTAGATTTTCAGTCAGGTAGTTTAGATTATTTTGCTTAAATGTAAATTACCTAAGGTTGCAAGAGAACCCCATTGTCACCAGTAAAGATGCCAAAGCCCAGGTGAGAAGAAGTATACTTCCAGAGTACACTAATATCATTTCAACATTTTTAGCATGCTTTTTAATTTAGTAGAAAATTTAGGGAAAATCATTTAAGTGCGGGTAAACAGCATAATTAACTATTAGTAACCTGGGCACCGCTGGGTATCCAAATAAATTGAAAATAAAGCATATTTGAGCTCAACTAAAGAAAGATGGGATGACCCAACACAACTAGATTCTATTAGTTTTTGAATAGGAAATTTAAGGCTCGAAATTTTTCTTCATGGGTTAACAGGGACAAGTATTAGTAGGAATGCGATTTTTTTAGGTAAAAATCTAAGGTATCGTAAAACTACCCAATATTCTGTTACCTCGTTTTTTGCAAAAAATAAACCAGTCAGGCATTCCTTCAGCATTGAGAAGAGAGAAGGGCATCAGAACCACTAACACACAGTCAGGCTTAATAGAGTGAGTTGGTTAATCACCCAGGATTATATGAACATTTTCAGTTAAGGCGTCATGTATTTTAATAATATAATTTTTAAAATTTATGTTTTATATTCATGAATAACCTTCTATCAGCTTATTAAACAACACTTTCAAATTGACATTCTAAATATGGGCTAATTATCTTCCTTCATATTCCTTTATAGATATAGAATAACCTGCAACTTGATTTTAAATGAAGTGCCTTGTTAGGCAACCATGTTTAAAAGAATTTAACCAGAAATGTTTTTTAACATCTATACATCAAAGTGCGATAAACCCTTTGGCCTTTTGTTATTCTTTCAAAAAAATTAATATAAATACTGTACAGGATATAATCAATTATTCTGTTATACTTACTAAACTTGAAAAATTATCAATTTATTATGCCTTGAATTAAACTAATAATACCTGACTATTTCAAAACCTAATTATGCCTAGCTTGGGAACCCAGCGTTGGCCACCATTTACTAGTTTTTAAACTTTATTTTAAATTCATTTTAATTAAATTTTACAATATTTTTAAATTTCAATATGATATCAGATGGAAACATTTTGAGACTTCTACATTTTATGTTTTTTACTCTTTCGTCTTGATCGTCCATTCCATGTCCATCCTTCAATCATACTTTGGCTAAAGTTGAAAATAAAAATAAATGAATTTTTTGGTTGTTTTCTGCAGCTAGCCAAATTGCAGAGGCAGAACTATTTTTTGGAGCCCTGTATCTTTATTCTTTCTTGTTTGTTTTCAAATTTTGCTCCAGTCATGTTACTGAGTCAGCTCCTGCATTCCTAACATTCATAACACACTTTCAATAAAATTTTCATGATGGGGGGGAGAGGGGTGTTTTACACATTTTCCAGTTTTTTATCTCAAGTAAGACATTGAAATTAAGCAGTCTAAATATATTTTTTAATCTGCCTCTAAAGCCTATCTTATTGATTAATTACAGGGGTTCACTTGTGAAAGGCTATTGTGTCCTTGTTGTTTAAACACTAGATAATTAGATTTTAAAATTCCAACCTTACATGTATGAACATCTCTTTCTTCACCTAAACTTAAAAACTTGAATGTCATGTATATTCTGATATACATTATCTCTTTGCAGTATTAAAAATGGGATATGTCTTCCTTCAAACATTTTAATCACTTTAATTATTCTTAATTAAATATTTGTAATGTTTGTTACTGTATTGGTTTGATAGAGCTGAGCAATATATTGTTTAATATCATGTTTATTTATATTTTCTGCCACCCCACCTACTCGTCCTTTCGTCCAGTTCCCCTGTCACTAAGCTATAGGGAAAATTATGAAAACCTGGCCCCCCCAGATTAATTTTCCCTCATGAGGATTATACTTTTCTATGTGATATTTATATTTTATAAATTTTAATCTTCGTGTAATAAATGATTTGATTTGATTTGATAGAGGGAGGGGGGATGGGACGTCTGCCATCCTGTGTATTTGTCTTTAGTCGCTATTGGTAATAAAAAATAGATAGTGTAAAGATCAAATCCCCTTCTAATTTTCCTGTTCAAAGTTTTCTTCTTCTTTCTTGTTTATCTTGCTTTAAGCACCCATTTCAAATGTCAAGAGATTTTCCTTCCACTTTTTTCTGTTCAATTTATTATGTCTTCTTGCTTCTTGTTTCTTGTTTTTACACTTTAAGGCCTTTCCAAATAGTTCTTCTAACATCGAGTTGTGGAGCAGGTAGGAGAGAGATAAGGAGGTTTGTAAAAAAAGGGTAAAGGGGATTTCTCCTTTTGTTCCTTCATTGAATACTGTTTCCCAGTTAGGGGATTATGAAATTTACCCATAACTGCACACCTTATGCAAAATGGGGAGTTCCATCTTCCATGGTGGTCCAGTCCTCACATCTGGTCGAGTAAAAAACCAGTATCGTTGTGCATGGATTGTATTCCCTCTTTCAGTGAACCATGCTGAAGATGAAGTTTTGTTTTCAGGTTCCCCTGTAGGATACAAGATGCGTAACTAAACTCAGCGCTTCCCCAGCTGTAATTCTGGGACTAGTACATAGTAGGTCTGTTCTGCTTGAGAGAAAGCAGGCAACTGCACAATTTTCTAGTACTTAACAATTTAACGGGAAATAAATTTTATGCTCTTGAAGTAGACACACACTTAGGGTTTCCATTGGAATTCCAGGTTACAGTTTCCATAATGGAAAAGGCTTTTGGCGCCCCCCTCTAGTTTTTTGGTCCTAGCACTCTCATTTTTTTCACTGTCATGGTGAGATTTTATGACTTTTAATGAATAGTAATTTAAAGGATAATATGTTAAAAATTTGTTTATTTTTATTTATAGGGTAGGGTACAGGTTGGAAAAAAGTCTGGTCTGTGAAAATAAAATCTTAAATAGCCAATAACTTTTTTGTGACTAAAGATACAGATCTAAAAACTATATTTTTGAAAAGCACTTGAAAAATGTAGAAACATGTGTGACACTTTGATATTTGTTAAAACTAAAACAACAAAAATTTCATTTTTTTTACCCTTTTTTATGCATTTTTTTCCACCCTCCCTAGCACCCAAAACTATTAAAGTTATCAGTCTAATTTTTTTTCTTTGTGCTGGCCACGAAAAATTAGGCCTTTTCCTAGGGGGGGGGGGTGGGGGTGCCAAACACCCTCCCACAGGCTATACATAGATTCAGACCCCCCAGCCTTTATAAGGTTAAATAATAACTTTTAAATAGGTCTGTATACACTACAGTACAGTATTCATTACGTAATAGGCGTGTCTCATGTTCATTGAACTATTTAAGGTCATAACATAAGTCTAAAAGTCGTCTTCCTATTCCAGAGTTTTCTGGTTCTCACCCTATTTATATACTTTGCTTATCTGTTTGTTTGATCGTTTATATCCAATTAATGTAACGTCAAAAAAGTTGAACCAACCGAGTCAAAAAATGTTGAGGCAACTCACATGGCCCAATTTCTATGATAAAACATACCGTAATAGATTAATTTAAATAACAGGACACTAGATGTCGTCTTTTAATTGTTACGGTGTGCTATATGTTCACAGTTTAATCTTTTTCCAGCTGGGGGAGGGACACCCCAACCCTCTGATGTTGGGGAGGGACACCACCCCTCCAACATTATTCAGAGAAAACTCTAATAGTCCAAGGCTTTTCAAATTTTCTGACTTTTCCAACAATCACATGCCCCTCACTTTAGACTCAAAGTGGGGTTTTTACATCAACTGCCTGAGTTCTCAGTCAAAATAACTGAACGCCTTATTTTACCATTTCTCAAGACTCAAAGTCATTGGATTTAGACTTTCTTTTTATAGCTCATTGGAAAGACTTGAACAAAAGAAATCAGATTGCACAATTTTGCAAAGAAATTTTGGATAGATTTTTGCGAAGACCCCCTTTCAAGAGAATTTTTATTTTTCCTAGTATACAAATTTATTTTTTGAAAATTTTGAATTTGCCTTGGTTTTACAAAAATGCATAATTTATCATATTTCTTTTGTTTTTATTCTTAATAACTGGGTAAATTGCAAGAAATTTTTAAAACTTTGAAATTTATAAAAAATTCTGATTATTAAAGTAGAGCTAAAGGGTTTTTCATTAAACACCACAGAGGGAGAAAGTTTGAAATTTTAGTACTGTATTGCATAACCTCCCTTAGGGAGGGGGTGCAGAGGCGGGATTATTCCTGCAGATTTTCAGAATGACCTCCAAGCCTTGCGAAACCATCTTGCTGCCTCTTACTACATCTCCAAGCATTCTGCTATTTTGTCTCGATGCACTGCATTTAGATTTCTGCTTGCTGTTTTTATTCTTTGTTTCTTACCTTTGATGGCTTAACAAAATATATCTTTTCAGTAGACTCCGCCATAGTAAAAAGAATTGATGAATTGACAAATTTGAAATATTAATTCATTCAGATTCTAAGTTTTTTTTTTAAGTTGGTAAAAGTAAAAAATGGCCTATATCTTTAATATCTTTGAAGACAAGGGTATGCCATTAGAGAATTTATTTACTATGCAAAAATTTATTCTGGAATACTCTATGAACTCAGTTTTGGTGGCTAAAAACTAGTTTAGCAGTCTGTTTACATTCTACTTAATTAGCCTAATGTCGAAACAATAATTTACTGCCACTGTGATTTTTGATTTGTACATCAAACCCCTGTGTAATAATATAAATTTTGTCATTTATACATAACTGCAATATTTTGTATCTTAGGGAATTTGTGAAATTTAGAAAAACAAAAACCTTTAATCTCAATTGAAATGAACTTTTTAATACAAATTGTTAAAGTATTTTATCATGCTGAAATTTTTTAAAAAATGTTTAAGGTTAATGTAAAAGCCAAATATTATTTATTGGAGACCAAAATGTGTGGCATGGAAACAGAATAGTGGAAAGCTAGGTGACATAGCGAGAGGCATGGAGACAGGTTCTGCAGGGCCTGGAGGTTATTCTGCAAATCTGGAGGCTCAGAAGTAATTTTTAGAGTAATCATGGCCCCTCGGCACTGAAGCACCCTCCCTCAACAGTCCAGCACCTCTCAAACCAATTGCTTCCACCTACTGTTCTGAAGTATATACATATTCTGATGGGTAAGCAGTAAACACTCCTTCAATTGGATGAAAAGGTTGGAGAAATACTTTGTATTGCTCAAGAAAATAAATATCTAAATAGACTGGATAGAATCCAGGGGCAGTTTTATGTTATCAATTAATATAAGATTACCTGCTCCCAGGAATGTCAAGTTCACTAAGTATGAAGTAGCAAGTGACCTGTTTAAATCCAAGTGTTTTAATCATCATTGAAATTAGCAGAATGGCCATATCCACAGATATCAAGCTAAATAATGATTTACCATTTTTTTTTTAAAGAATAAATATAATTAAAGAATTTACCTTACTAGAATACCAAGCCAAGTGTACTTGTCAAATACCTTTTATTGTCAAATTTAAATTTACATATAAGTGCGATCTAAAATGATAACCAGCAAATTCTGAAATGTTAAGACAACTCTTATGACAAAGTATTACTTTAAATAGGCCAAAAACTATAAGAAACAGCAATTGTGCAATGCAAACAGACCCATTTACTAAGTTAATGATTCAAAAAGTGTCATAGTTCAACGTTATTTGTACTACACTATAACAACATCAAAACACTAAAGTAATGAAAAAATGTTGTCTTTCTATTTCATTGTTTTTCTGGTATATTTCTCGTAAAGCTAAGGGTTGTACCTTTAGAAGGTTTTCATATGCAGGTTTCTTCTGTGGAAACTAAAACAAGACAATTATGAAAGTAATAAGAAGATCCATGGGCACAGGCAGCCAATTATCTCATAGTGTCCTTAACAGTACTTATGTCCTTAATTAGGCTTTTGGGGAAGAAAAGACTAGGGCTTCCCAGGGGGGGTTCAAGCTCTGAGTGAAACTTGTGAAAAAGGAGGTGTTGTTAGATTTAAATCAGTTAATTTTCAATCTTTTATTTTCTATAATTTGATTAAAATTCTGAAAAACAACCCAATTTTAAAATTACCTTTATTGCATATCTGTTTCAAATTTTCACTTTCATTTGTATTAGTGTTTTTTTACATTTTTTATCATTCCAACCTATTTTAGGGAGCCATTTCTGATTTCATGTCCCAACCTACGCCAAATTTCAGCTAGCCAGAGCAATCTCTACTAGCTCAAATACAGCCTATATAAGGCAAAACAGGACAAAACACCAAATGAAATGTCTGTGAATTGGAATTTCCAGAAGAATACAATTTTCTTTTTTTTAATATCTATCAGATCATTTAAAAGTAAAACTATCATGATTTATCAATGAAATACAAAAGTTTTTGCTTATGTACTCTAAAGTCTCTGCTTAAAAACAGTTAGAGTAAAACAGTAAATTTTTAAGATAGTGTTTAGGAAGGTTAAAAAAAACTCTTCACCCCCTTTTATTACTCTATGTTCTTGGTATAAAAACTTGATTTTAAACCAATCTTCCACCCATTGCATCCTCCCCTCCTGAAGTTTCCAACAGAATTGGATTTTTAATTGTGCGCAATTCCATAAATAAACCAATTGATCCTAATATTAATAATTCAAACAGAGCATCTTAAGATAATCAATGGGTAACTATGCCTTACTTTGGTATTACTTATGCATATCCTTAAAATGTACTGAACACTGTGCAATCTCAGGTTCTTTGGTCTGGTTTTTGATTTGTTTTGTGACTTTAGCTATCCTTATCATGCAAATTGATGATATGACAACAAAAGTTAAAAAAAAATGAGGAGCCCTCATTAATAAAATCTTTATGAAATTGCAGATACTAAGTGCATTTTCTGGTTTAGATTCATAACATAAATGTTGTTTAAAGGCTTTACTCAGATTTTTCTTGTTTAACCCTTTCTCTGCTGGGGTACTTAAAACCAGGATATGCTGGGGGGTGGGGGGTCAATTTGACCCCACCTCTAAATCCCATGTTTGACATCCAAATATGACAAATGATAAATCATTTGAAAGCTCTGGTGCTCTACTTTTAGAATCTGCCAAAAAATTTGCAAATTTGCAAAAATTGAATTTTTTATCGCAAAATCCAGTTATATAGTAAAAATGTTTGCAAAAAAATTGTCCAATAAATGAAAAATTATACATTTTTGAAAAGCCCTTGACCATACCATTTCAAATATGCAAAAAGTTTTGCAAAAATTTTAAATAACCTGATGTTTAATTAAGAAAAACTAAAAATGTGCAAATTTCTCTTGACAGGTTGTTTGCAAAACTTGTGCAATCCGTTTCCTTATGTTGTAGGCTTTCCAAAAAGTTAAATTTTTTTCGAAATCTGACAACTGAAAGTGGGTCAAAACAAAGATTTAGTTTATTACAGGAAAAAGCAGTCATTCAGGCAGTGTGCCTGAGGACTCAGGCAGTTAGTATTAAAGCCCGGTTTTAGGCCTAAAGGGAGGGGTTAGGTAATGTAGAAAAAGTCAGAAAATTTCAATAGCCTCAGACCAATACTTTTTGAGTTATGTAAAAAAAAACTACAGGGGGGGTCAAGTTGACCCCCCCACAGCAGGAATAGGGTTAAAAAACATTTCTGTAAAAAGCAAGGTCCTCAATTTTTCTGTAGCATAAAGTGTTGTATACCTGAGTTGACCATCCTTCTCCACCTAATCTCCGTCCCATGGTACAGTCAACAAGTTTTGATCTACATGATAATCTGTATGGATATTATCTATGTAATGAATAGAACCTTTCTTCAATTTTAACTCTAAACTGTAGCTCTTTTAGCAGCATTTTCTCTTCTTGGATTATCAAACTATAACCAACTTTGTAGATTTACTGAAGTTTTCATGAAAAATCAAAATTTTCTAGTCATTTTGATTGTCTATAAACCTTCCCTAAGGTCATGTGAGAACTAGGGTTTCCAATAAATATTTGTTGCACAAAAATTTTTGTGCAAAAATTTTCTTATGTTTCAAGCAAAAATTGCACAAAGTTTGATACAATATTGCCTTTCTTTATTCATGCTATTTTGTTATTTTCATTATTTTGAATTACTTTGTTAAATTTCAGGAAACAATTCCAGGAAATAATGAATCCTGAAATAAACCATTCAGAGCCCTACTATACTCCAGCCCGCTCTCACCCACATCTTTGGCAATGTCCTCACTTATAAGATATCAAGAAAGTCACCATGTGATTGTAAGACAATTAGTTACAGTTGACGGAGAAAGGTAACAATCGAACAGTCATTTAAACAAGAGAAATGTAAACATACCTATATAGAATAATACATAAATGAACATCAAGTGATGACAGCTTTTAGCACATTATCAATACCCACTTATCATAACAAATTTTTACTGTATCAAACTATAGAAAATGATTATTATAAAATTATTGTTCATAATAATTAGTGCAGTTGTGGTAGTTTTTTTTTCTGCAATTAGATCACATCATACTGTCCAAGTATTTAAATCTTTTATATATTTGTGCAATATGTCATGAAAAAAATATTACTTAAGTTATTTTCGTATTCATGCACAAAATCATGCATAAATTATGACTTTTGTAATGTATTAATCAGTAATTTTGTTCAAAAAAAATATTTATTTCAAATGAATTGACAATTTTGATCAAACCTGGTTTGAATTAATACAAATATTACACAGAATTTTGAGCAGAAAAGAGAAACTGTTGAACAAGAGAATTTACTGTTTCGTGGAAACCCTAGTGAGAATCCAAATATTGTTTACTAACAAGTATTTAACTAGAGTGCCATTTTTTTATTTAACCAGTATTACCTTTCGTACATAACCCTTTCACACTATATAGTTTAAATTAAATATTCAAGAAGCATTCTGTTCTATATCCCCTCTCCTGTGAGTTAGGAAAAACTCATCAGCCTTGAAGTGCTACTAGACACCCCTTCTTGTTGGAGACCCAATGTGGTCGTCTTGTTAGAGACTTCATATGATCGTCTTGTTGGAGACTCCATATGGTCAACTTGTTGGAGACCCCATGTGGTTGTCTTGTTGGAGACTCCATATGGTCGTCTTGTTGGAGACCCCATGTGGTCGTCTTGTTGGAGACCCCATATGGACGTCTTGTTGGAGACTCCGTATGGTCATCTTGTTGGAGACTCCATATGGTCGACTTGTATGAGACACCATGCAGTCGTATTGTTGGAGACCCCATATGGTCGTCTTGTTGGAGACTCCATATGGTCGTCTTGTTGGAGACTTCATATGGTTGTCTTGTTGGAGACTCCATATGGACATCTTGTTGGAGACTCCATATGGTCGTCTTGTTGGAGACTCCATATGGTTGTCTTGTTGGAGACTTCATATGGTCATCTTGTTGGAGACTCCATATGGACGTCTTGTTTCTATTGATTTATATAAAAACATTTTTATTTTAAATCCTGCCAGGCTTTACAACTTTTTTCTTTATAAACATTACAGTCAGAATTTGATCCCATTCTAAGGAACATTTGCTAGTCTCACTCTGCTCTCAATAAAACTATTAATATATTTGTCAATACATTTTTTAATTGGTATCTTTGAATATTTTTTCTTACTTAAACTTTACTAATTTAAAATTTATATAATATATAATTATATATAATTATATATAATTATATATAATAATATATAATGATTGAACTAAATGAAAATCTGGGGATCTCCAATGAATTTCTTGAGGTCTCAGATGAAAATCTGCCAATCTCCAATGAAAATCTGTGGTCTCCAATGAAAATGATTATGACTCTGTGATAAAAATCTGGGGGTCTCCAATAGAAATCTAGGGGCCTCAAACAAAAATCTTAAATCTCCAACAAACTCTGGGTGTCTTCAATGACAAGCTGAGGGAATCCAATGAAAATATGGGTGTTGCCATTGAGAATAGGGGGGTCTCCAACAAGACATCCATGGGGTCTCCAAAAGTACTCCAATGCTGATGAATTTTTCCTGGACAAGATGATGCTGATAAGAAATGTGATCCTACAGTGATGTTGTTTTAAAGAAACCATTATTATTGATATAGACTTTAAAGAGATTTCAATTATCCATAAAACCCATGAAACAGAAATTTTCTAATTCTGAATGAATTTGTTGATATCTCTGGTATTTTGAAAATTTAAATCAACAAAAGCCATGTGAATTGATATGACTACTGACTAATACTGCTTTGTGATTTCTGTTTAGTTAAAAATATTTCAGAAATTAGGTTGCCAAATTGAAAGCCCCAAACTATTTCCAAGGGTATAGACAACATTCAAGTCAACAATCAAATAATAAATAATTCTGGTGCTCAGAACGGCTTTCCCAGGTACTGTTTTAACTATCTTTATTTCCCAATTGCGAAGATGTCTGGTAAATAATTCTTTATATAATTTGTCACAATGCAATAGAATCAAAAGCTTCATGTTGCCAAAGTTATCAGATTCTGAAGCTAAAGAAACATCGCTTTCTTCTTGTTGATAAGATAAATTGGTTCAATTGTGTTGAATGAATTCAACTGCGAATCAGGCATCACTATTTAAAATTGGAGGATTTCTTAAAATAACAATTAAAGTCCCTTTAAAAAAAAAGATTATAAATAAAAGTTATGAATCTTTGACTGCAATTTTGTTCATGATAAATTACCTTCCGAAGGTATATGCAATACCACAAACTCCAACATCAGCCTTGCCATATCCGACCTGTGTCATTGATCTTAAAGCACTAATTCTAATAAAAAGATTTCTACCACTCACCATTCCCACAGTTCCATCCCATTTTCCAGTATTTTCATCCAATCTGCCCCATACTTTAAAATTGTTTAAAAGGATAACCTTTAACTGATACAACCCTGCAACATTAAATACATTTTTTCAAATGAATTGTTTTCTTTTTTCCAAATGTGCTCAAACACCAATTTGTTCAGGCTTTGAATTCTGTCTAAAGAGTTCTTGAAAGGGTTTCCAGGAAAGTGCAATATTTTGGCCTCAACCATGTTGACGTCTATTGGACTGAAACAAACAGACAGACAAGACAAAATAAATTTATGATTGGCTCAGTACTGTTCCTACCCTTAAAATTTGTTGTGTCTATAGCAATAGTGAAACAATTCTTTAAACCGGTTTTAGTTCAATCCAAAAACTAATGAAATTACCTATAAATGCTGTTAGAAGATTTCCCTCAATAGTTGCTGTGTCTATTTCATTTGTTTCATTGTCCACATTGAAGATCTCTCTCCAGTTATTATATCCAACCCTTTTCAAGTGAAATAAATAAGACTATTTTTTAATGGTGATTTCACTGTAAGTAATGTGCATTAAATCTCTGCTGCCTTTTCATGTTTATTTTATTCAAATTCTGTTTACTTTTTAATCAAATTCTGTTCAAATACTGTTTGATTTCTAATCCAATTCTGTTCAAATTCTATTCTGTTCTAATCTTTATCATTTTCAATTCAAAATTAAATCTCTGTTGACAGAGACATTCCCATCTGGCACTTTAATTTTAGTTTTTAAGAATAGGTTTGGAAAAATGTTTCAGCAGCGCCAATTTTTCACTCAAAATGTACATATTCAATTATTTCTCCCCACCCTGGAAAATCTTATAAGGTTGTTAGTTTTTCAGCAGAGAGATTCTTTCATTCCAGAATGAAGACTTCACACCTCTTTTATGAGAATAAGATAATATTCTTGAGGAACTTTAAATTTCCCACAAGAAGAAAACATAAGAATTGATCAGTCTGCTAAATTTGAGAAGATGACTTCAAGACATAAAAGTAGGGCTGGGCAGAGTTACATTAACAAAAATCAATGAAGAGTTTGTTAACACACGGTAAAAACCATAAATTTTTAAATAGTTTATGAAAAAAAAAATTTACAAAAGAAAACATGAACAAAATGGATGTGTTTTTAAAAACGATGAATTTCGTTTTTTTTTGTGCTCAAAATTGCATGAAATTTTATTAATATTCAGATGTTTTTTAATGCTGTCTTCCCACCCTTTGAAAATTAACAGCATGCATCATACAATTTCTAATGACTTTTCTTGAATAAAAATAGCTGTTTACGAATGGCACCAATACTATTTGTTGAACTATTTTTTGTTAATAAAATAACAGTATCTTTAAAAATATTGTTAACATAACAAATGATTAACAAATCAGCTAGAAAATATTTGGATTGTGTCCAGCCCTAGAGAAAGGGCTTTCAACTCATTAGCAGTAAAAGTGATAGACAGGACCTAATAAAGGTAAAAAAAATTCATAAAAAAAGAAGACCATAAATGTTTCTATATAATTACTGAATTTGAGCATAAAGTCAATGTCTAATATCATTAATATGGGTGAATACGTTTTGAGAATCAATGTTTTAAAATTATTAAATAAAGACATCGAAAAATGTAACAAAAATTTCCAGTGAACAATTAGATCCTTATTTTCTCAACAGAAATCAATATTAGAATCACTTACTTTGTTTTCATCATTATGTTGAATTTTTAGCCCTTACGAATTTGTACGCAGATTTCTTCAAAGGTTGTCTTTTCAAAAAAATTCCAAAAAATTTACTGAAAATGTTTTTGAAGATTGAGAGATTACAAAAACACATAATTGAATAAGATTGCTTATTTTTGATGGAGTTGATACAAAACCCCCACAAACAAAATGTCCAATAACAAAACACCCAAAAATAAAAAAAAACCAATATTTCAAAATGTCCAATATAACAAAATGTCCAATATTTCAAAATGTCCAATATAACAAAATGTCCAATATAATAAAATGTCCAATATAACAAAACGTCAAAAGCAACAAAAAGCCCAGATAACATATTGACCAAAGTTACAAAATGTCCTATATTACAAAATGTCCAAAGTTACAAAATGCACAAAGTTACAAAATGAACAAAGTTAAAAATGCCCAAAGTTACAAAATGTTATGAAATGTTACAAATTTCCAAAGTTAAAAAATGTCAAAAGTTACAAAATGTTACAAAAAGTTGCAAAATCTCAGAGTTACAAAATTTCCAAAGTTACAAAATTTCAAAAGTTAAAAATGTCCAAAATTAAAAATTGTCCAAAATTACAAAATGTCCAAAGTTACAAAATGTTACAAAACTGCTAGGACAGGACGAGAGGCCAAGCACTGCCTCTAGTAATTAAACATAAAAATTGTTGAACTGAACCAAAAAATGATCAAATGTATGTGTTGTTTCAGGGTTAGGTTAAGTTAAGACAATTTCTCGGCAGAGCACTGCTGCTTGGATAGGCTAGGGGGGCCGAGCAATGTGGCTAGGAGTTCAAATGAACATAAAAATAGATTAACTGAACCTAAAAAAGCTCCAGGTTAGGTTAGGTTAGGTAATGACAATTTCTGGGTCGATCACTGCAGCTAGTAGTACACTTACACATAAAAATAGTTCAACTGAGGCAAAACAATTGAAATCTTGTTACTAATTGGACATTTTGTAACTTTGGCCATTTAGCAACTTTGGACATTTTGTGAATTAGGGCGTTTTGTGTCTTCTCCTTTTCGATGATAAGAGTTAATTTTTATTTTCTTAACTTGTTCATAGACAACTGATTAGTTAATTAATAAAAAAACAATTCTCTAAACAAAGCCACCCAAATTTATGATTCTTAATGTCCACTTTGCACTCAAACTCAGTAATTATTTGTTGAAATGTTTATAGGTCTTAAATGATTCTTAACAAAATTTTCCATAATAATACATTTTCAGTTCAACAATCATACATTGTCGGTCATCCCATTTAAAATATATCACAAATCAAGTCGAAAATGCTGATTTCTTCAAACTGATGGCAATTCATTCAAAATACAGAAAAAAATTATTCAAAATAACCTTAAAGTTTGATAGAAAAAGGAGTCTGGTTCCATGTTCTTCTCTTCTCCCTTGTAAACTACAGTTGAAGAATAAGTTGACCATAGACCTTTATACTTCTGTTTGTGTATATCCCTGTAATTAGAAATGTAAAATTTTATAAATGGTTTCAGGGTTGCAATGAAGATGTTAGGGACTCAATGGTGTCATAATCTTTTTCAAAGGTTGAAAAATAAACTTACCAATATGTGAATGCTGATGAACACTTGGAGATCATCATAAATCTTGGTAAATCTATTCAAAGTTAATGTTTCAACAAAAATATTTAAAAGAATGTTCAAAAACAGAAATTGTAAACAATGGGACTACACTTTTGATTTTAGTCTTTTTGAAAGTTACTTTGTTCATCCAATTTAGAACAAAATCATGTTTTTTGACACTGGAGGATAAGTTAAGAACATAAGATTCTAAAATCCTTGGTTTAATAACAAGATTTAGGGGTTTTTCGTACAAATAACCCTGATGCAACTAAAAGTAAAGTAAAAAACTAGATATGTATATTCCTAAATATAGTTTTGATCTGGTATGAGTTAAATCAGACATTTTTGTATTAGTTATAAAAGAATCCTTGGGAATGTTTTGATTATAGAATGTGTTTACTTTAAAAACACCAATGCTTTTTGAGTTGTGTCTGAAACCAGTAGGAATTGAGTTTAACTTTATTCATTATTATTTTCCTAGATGATTTTGATGAAGTGCAGTATCTTCTTGGAAAATAATCTGAAGTACATGATTATAACCATGGTTCATGCTTTCATCCATAACAATAACCTAATTGCAAATACTGTTCCCATATTTGAGATATCACAGGAAGAACTTCATGTTTAATTTTTATTTGAGTTGCAAAATCACAACACTTGATGTCTCTGTTCATCTTTTAGAAACTAAAAGTTCATTGTAGTAAAATAAAATATTTTAACTGACATCATTTTTTTCAGATTATATCAAGCATGAGCAGAGTGTAGAAAAGTTTCACATTGAGTTTTGTATTGTATTTCTCAACAACCCTTTTTTGGAATAGCGATCTTTCAGATATATACAGGAAGGAGCATTCTTATAATTATGAACACATAAACATAATTTACACTTGAAATATCACTTTGTGATAAGAATAGTTTAAAGTTTTCATGTTCAAGATGTTTAATGTAAAAGATATAAAATAAAATGTTTAGATTCTTAACATTTTGTAATAATTATGTACTTTTACACAGTATATTTTATAATATACTTACATATCAGAAATCAATTATATACCCCCCACCCCTTTCCTGGGGTTTTTTAAAAATGTAATTCAAGTAGATGGGAGAAAAATAATTTTCTCATGAAAAAATCCCATGTTCATCTTGTGATATAAACTCAAGTTTTCACCGTGTAAAAACTCAGTCCTAAACCGTGATTAAATTGTCGACATTCACCTCGACAGCACATGAATTATCACGGGATATTGACGGGTCACTCATGTGGTACTCCAAATCCATCATATATTCTTGTGTTCTTCTCGGGTTTTTGTTTGTTGGGTAGATTGTAGACATCAGTGAGAATGTCACTGATGTAGTAGAGAGCGTCCCATATCATCTTAGATTATCTCAAATCTTTAACGCCAAAATACACATATAATACTCGAAAAAATCTAGCAATTTCTCCCAAAACAATTTTCTATAAGCCTTAATTAAATTTTTCAAAATTATAAATTCTTCTTAAATTATCCGATTTGTCCCCCAAATTGTAATTTAGACTCATTGACGCGGTCTTATTTGATGTGGGACACCCTGTATGTAGACATTGGTAAGAAATGATTTGATATAGTATATATTATATGGCGCCGACAATGTAGTGTTTGATGTGGGAGATCATATCTGCGCTGTCGTATATACTTCAGTGCTGATACACTACATCATATGTATAATAGAACCAGGAGTGATACAGTGTATTGTCAGGACCTACATTGGACATGATAATCATTGCTCCACCCAACTCTGGTGAAGCCTGTCATATTTAGGCGCTGTAACAAAAGTCAGTTTTTTTGTAAGCTGGGTATTTCATATTTTTTTTTGTTTTTTAATTTAAAGTCACTCCACTACCAAGCTTAAAATCTTAAATTATAACCTTGTCAGAAATAATTATGATACACTTAGTAAAAGATAAAGCAGATTGAGATATGTAGACATCCAGCCAAGTTTCATTCTCCATGATCAGCTTCTGCTCTCCAGGAATTACAGTGTCGCCAATTCTGGGAAATAAAGGCATTCAGAGCTGAAAACTTTAGAATTGTGGATATTAATGCTTGATCTCTTCTTTTTATTAATTTCAAGATTGATTTAATCTTTAGTGTATGAAAGTGTATGAAATGTATTTTAAAACCGGGAAATTTGAAATCAAAATAAACAGAGACTAAGGAAAAAAATTTGGATATTCAGTTTAAGCAATCAGGATTAAGGATATCCCATTCTAAAGTTTTTAGCCCAAGAGAAATAAGAAAATTAGGTTAGCTTGGTGGGATATTGATTGCACTAATTGATAGACAGACTAACTTACATTCATACTATGTTCATCCAGGCTAACATTCATAGTTATCAAACTCAAATCCCTGTGGAAGGTTTTTTGAGCAAGTGGAGAATTAATTTTTTTAAAACTTTTAACGGAATTCGGCTGATTTAATTAATTAGCTCCATTGAAAATTTTAATTGGAATGAACAAAATATGTTCAATTGAACTAAATCTAAAAGTGTGGGTAAAATTGGAAAAGTAGTACAAATGAACATAAGTGCAAATGAACAAAAAAATGTTCAATCACAGCAAAATTATAAATTTCACCAACTTTACATAAATTATAGTTAGTTCAATTGTACTTATTTTAGAAAAAATGAACTAAAGATGTTCACTTAAAAACTAAACTCTGAAATTTCTCAATTTTGCCCATTAATCAAAATTAGAGCAATTGAACTTATTTTAGAACAAATGAACAAACAAATGTTCAATCTAAATATAGATCTAAAATTTCAACATTTTGCACATTTACCATAATTAAAACAAATTAAAATATTTTAGTGCAAATTAAGAAAAAAATGTTCAATCAAACTAAAATCTGGAATTTCACCATTTTTATTTATAAATCATAATTGCAATTGAAGTGCAATTGAACAAACTTTTCATTAGAAATGCTCATTTGCTCTAATGTTCAATTGTTCTAATATTTACAAAAAAACATTGGTCTGTATGAACAATTGCACTAATATTTACAGAAAAAACATTAGCCATCTGAACAAATTTTTTTGTGAAAATGTTCATTTGAACTATACTTCATATTGTGCTTAAAATTTTCTTTGAAGATTAGTGTTTTTGAACTAATATTTAATCCAGATCAAATGCACTATTGAACATATTTAGTAAAATATTCCTGACTGGCAAAATAAATTTTAGTCAAATTGAAAGCGCAATTTGTGTTCATTTGCACTAATGTTTAATCATACAACAAACTGGTTTCTGATCAGCTGACTTTAGTGCAAATGTACATTAGTTCAAATGGATATTATTGCAAACAATACAGCATCAGATCAAGCCAGAAAACTATCAAAAATTTAGAAAAATCAGTTTAATTCTGTATGGCGTTACAGCTGAAAGGGCATTTTTAGCAATGCTAAGAAAGCCTGAAGCTTCTCCAAAAATGATAAGAGAAGCCATAATAAGAAAATTGTGTTAGAATCAGCCACACTGTTTCAAAATATAAAGACTCATCCAAGCTAAAGTAAGAAAATTACATGCTTGACATTATGTTTATTTCGATATGCATTTATTTGTTTCAATCTTGTTAATAAGATATTTCTGGAGCTACTGATTGTATAGTATTGAACTCATGCACAATATAAGAGTGCTATTTTAAGAGTAGGACAAAGTTCTGTAATATATTTTTATGTTTTTAATATCTTCCCCATCCCCCTTATTTATATAAAAAACTTTTTTTAATTTGGTAAATTTGTGCCCTCTGATAAATTCACTTTAATAGACCATTAATAAACCACCGTTTATGCAGTTAATACTATACAAATAACCGTTAACCGTTTTGCTGTTAGGAATTGACAACCAATTTCTAAAAAAAAATGGGCTATTTTAGATTTTTTTAAAACACAGACCTGAATTTTAACCAGCCGGTACCTTACACTATGCATTAAAAAATTTACTATGCTTAAAAGTACTTCAAAATACTAATCCTTGAAAGTGCTATGTCAAGAAATAGCTGTTTCATCCTCCTATTTTAAAAAGGAAAGTGGTAGTACTAAGAGAAAAACAATTTCCACTATTACTCTTATCCCCATGCATTATCACTATATCATTAACAGTTTATTTAAACAGTACAGAAGTGAAAAGCTTGACCAAAGGCAGATTTCAGGGGCGTAGGAGGACTTTTGCTTGGGGGGGGGGCATAATGTACGTGCGTATATTGGACTGCTCCCCCCTCACAATTTCCCTAAAATATGGTATGAAAATAAACAACACTTTTCTAAGCTTTCAAATATCAATCTTATTTCGAATTTTAAACAGAATTTAATAGAATATTTTTATCAGCAGAACAAATGTTTTAATTCTAACACATGCTATGTTTGCAAAAGAATCGAAGAAACCAAAGACGATTTCACAAAGAAAAGAATAAAAAGATTAATAAGAGTAAAAAATATAATCAAACATAAAGGATGTCAAAAATCAGCGCGAATTAAAAAGATGCTTAAAAATGCCCGTTTTTCATAGAACCTATATCTTTTTCACACTCCATAAAGCTTTTTTATTACTTTTTTTTAACATTACAAATAAATATTTAATTTTTATTTCTAAAAGTTGTAAGTTCATCGTCGAAAAATACTTACAACCCACCACTAATTTAAATATAGTATAAACAATAAATATGTAACTTTCCTTATACTTTCCTTTCCTTTTCCTTTTATTTCTAGTTTAATATTTTTTTTAGAATTGGGGGGAAATATTCCCACAAAATCTACTTTTAGAGGTTTTTAAATATTTCTCCTGAAACACTTTATTTTGTTTGTTTTTGTTATATTTCATAAATAAATAATTTTTTACTTTACTTTTACTTTTTACAATATTCTGGGATTTGCTTGCACAAACATTTCAATGATTTTTTCAGTAGAGAGCTCAGACAGCCTTATAGGGTGTAAAGCTATAAGTGCAAGATCATTAAGTCTGCTCTCCGTCATAGTACATCTTGTATACTGAAGTATTTTCTTTAGAAGGCTAAATCTTTTCTCTCCTTGTCTTGTATTAACAGTGAATTTAGACAAATCCTTAGTCTTTGTCATTGTCAGGTGTTACTTTTTAAATGTATTTTCCTTTTAATTTTGTATTTTCCAGGGGGGGGGACGCCTGGAACTCTCAGGGGGGGCAAGAGGACTACTATCCCCCCTAGGTAAGCCACTGTGTCTGGCCTAAGGAAGGGATATGCAAGCAGATGTAATATTAAAATAGCCTCCCCCATGGGTGCCCCCCTCAGCCTCTCAGGGGGGCACACATAGAGGGGCGGGGGGGCACGGCCCCCCCTCGTACACCCCTGGCAGATTTGACCATGTTTGTTTAACGCTAGAAAGCTTCCCAAACAACAACTTATAGAGCCAACTAAGCATCATTCCTGGGTAATGGTTTTTCATACTGGAATTTTCAAGAACAATGCTATTGTTTTTTTTTGTTAAAAAGAGTCTGGAATTATAAGTGTTTGAAATAAGGAACACATTCTGAATCTAAATTTTGGTTCAAATATTTAGAATGGGGGAGGGGGGGTTCCCCACCTTCTTTGATTTTACAAAAGTTGGTTGATTGGTTCAGTCATCACCAAAGTAATTAAGTATTTGCAGCTAACTCAAATTTTCCAATCCCCATATCTTTGATATGTGATGGTGAAAACCTTTAATATTTCAAGCGTTGCCAATAGGCATTTGCTTTAAATAAAAACTTACCCAATACTTGTTACCACACACTTTTCATACCCCTGTACTCTTCTAGAATATCATATTGTCAACTATTTTTTAGAAAATTTTGAACTTGATAATAAATTAACACAAAACAAAAATTAGGTTTGGTTTATTTTTGAGAAATATTACAACCAATGATATTCCTAATTATCCATTGAATAACCTTCGAAGAATTCTGCTTATCAAAATTTCCACACTTAGCTATTACATTTCCTAGATTTAAGAACAGTAATCCCAGTACTAATGAGGGAAATTCCATTTTCAGTCTGAAATGTGAAAGATTGGTTTAACAATTAATACATTATGGTTGGCTGTTGAGGCAATATCATATAAACAAGGGCTGTAATCTGTCGTCTTTGCAATAAGGATAGAGATCAGGGACATAAGGGAATCAGTGTTACAGGTATAGATCATGTAGTGACATACAGTACTAGGAAAAATACGGGTTGCGGCATCTGTTTATATACAGTGTACACAGATCCGGGGTATGTAAACAGTAGACAATGAAATAATTAAAGAAATCCCCTAAACCCACAGTGTTTTTGCCAAAACCAGTCTCAGTTACCTCTACACAGATCCTGGCAGAACATAACTATGCAATATGCATCCCCTGATATCAAAGTGTTAAAGAGAAGGTAGTAATATGTTTAACATACCAGATTTCTAAGATAAATTAGTATTTATATTCTCAATTAGCATAATTTTATAAAAAATGGTCTGCAATCTGATTAAAATTAGTCCAGGGCATGAGGGGGAAGATGAACTAGGGGATAAGTATATTTTTATGGAGGGGGGGGGGGTCATGTGGCCCCCCCTAATAGCAACGTTGAGTTATCCTTTTATCCTTTTACAAAATATCCAAAATATACTTTTAGTTTTAAGGTTGAAGAGATAAATTTGTAAGTTTGAAAGTTTTAAGAGGGGTGGGGGCTGGCCTGGATGTCCCAGCCTTCTTGAAAAGTTCTATAGAGGCTTGGGGGTCTGAATTTATGAATAGACTGGGGGGGGGGCAGCTTATTAAAAAATATGAGATCATTAACCTTTAAAGCTTGGGTGATAGAGGGTTGAAAACATGCCAAAAAAAGGTCAAACAAATGTAGTTTTTAGATCTGTAGCTTTAGTTTAAAAAAATTAATGGGGATATTTCAGTTTTTTTGTACCCCCCACCCCACAAGTCAATTTAGCATTTTTTTCTCCATTTCTTCCTCTTGAGTTAAATATTATATTATGTAGTTGAAAAACTAAAATTGACAAGAGTGTCCATGTTTAGATATCTACAAGAAGTGTTTACCACATGAAAGCATATTGAGGAAGTGGTGTGCAAATTTAGATGCCTCGCCAGGATTTACAGAGCAATTATAAGTTTAAAACATTACATTGGAACGAATTAGTTACTGAGATAACGGAATCCGAGATCCAAGATGCGAAGGCTGATCATGGAGAACTACTTAAATATTCCTTGCTTAGAGAAACTGCACTACTGTACACAGTCCTACGGCTGAAACATCTTGCCAAGAAGAAGAACTTTGATTCACAAACGTCAAAAATTAGAAAAAAGTTAAACAAACTTGTGCTTTTTGACAACCAATAAGATTGTTCATGATGATCATTATTCTATCCAATTGATTTTTAATACATTTCTTTATGAAATCATGTAAACTTTTTTCATGAGAACAAAATGAATTAAAATGATGGACTTCTTTATATGTTGTGAGACAACATCTGAGAACTTTTGAATCAACAAAATACGTTAAAACCTTCTTCTCAGATCTCTGATTTAAATCTAAACTGCAATTTTACTTGACATATATCTTTTGTGAATTTTTGGAATTTTTATGAAAAAGATTGTATTTAAGACAGATTTGAACTTATTTCGTCAATTTAAAAGTGTTCAACTTTAACACAGTGTTGCCAACTCTGAAGAAAGATAATTCCCAATTTATGTCTTCAAAATTCCCAAAATCAACTTAAAATTCCCCATATTTATGTTATACTGAAAACACAGTAAAAAGTGCTTTAAATTGATATCAACTTTAAAAAACACCTAAATAATATGCATTTTCAATATCCAAAAAGCCTTATTTTGGTAAAAATTCCCTTTACAATGATTGATCTGAATCAGATTTGATTTAAATCATGTTGAAAAATAATTCATGACAACAATTGGTATGAATTTTAGTCAATTCCATTGTTTTCCAGTACAATTTACAAAACATATCAAAAAGTTTTAAATTCCCCAGAAATACCCCAATTTTCATTCTATTCCCCGGGGAATTCCCCATTCCCAATTGGGGGCCCCAGATTTCCAAAAAATGGGATAAATTTCCCCAGTTGGCAATACTGCTTTAACAGAGAAACTGACATATGTTGCTGGAAACCATGCTTTTTTAGTCCAAAAATTACAATTTAAACTCTTCCAACTTATGCTAAGAGATTAACATATAATTACTAATTGACTTTAGTGGAGGAATAATTATTTTGGCATATGTCGAAAAACCAATATAAGGTTAAGAAATTTAAAATACATCAATAACATTTTTAGCATACAAGTTAGGGCCGAACTGGGAGGGGGGTGGACTGCGCCCCCATGTGCCCCCCCCCCCCGTCTTGTAGGATAAAATGGAAGGAGAACTCGCATGCTTGGCTGCGCTTATAATTCTCAGCATTCTTTCACCCGTTTTTATATTAAAAGAGCCATTTTGGATGTTTTCCATCATGTTTTCCATATTGCTGAATAACCTAAATATTTTTTGAATATTTGAACTTTGCACAAGGAGTTAGAATATCCAATTGACAAATGTACATTAATTGGTTTCCGCAAAAATCCCTCTCTTCTTTAAATGTTCATGTTAACCTTTATGTTCAATGATAAGGAGTCTGTACAACTCCCCAGAGGCCGTTCCTTCCATAAACTACATTGGTCAACAACTTGACGTGTACTATATTGGTCGTGAAATGTACGGAGAAATATCTATCTATCAGATAAGAATTTAGCACGAGACATCTAGCGGCCAACATATCGTCCCCCAAAGTACGTAAAATACACGACCACTTTCTATGGAGAGAATGGGCTCTGCACAAACTGTCTATCAGCATTCTACACTCTACCCTTTCTCCGCATATAAACCAAAATATAAAGATACAAATTGTGGCAAAAGTGTAAATTTTAGTATGGAAACATGTTCAGCACCAAGACTGCAATTACATTTAAGAAAAAAAGGGAAAGGGGGACATCTATGCAATGAAAGGGTGATCGTGCACTGTTTTGTAATAGCTCAAACATAGCGACTTGCAAATATTCTTTCAAAATCAGTCCCTTAAATGGACGGGCAAAGGGAGGCAGGTAAAAGAGAAATGTGGATATCTTGATCTAGAAAGGAGAAAACAGATGAAAATTTAAAATTATTAACAATGCAAAAACATTATTAAAAAAAAGGGAAAAATGTGAAAATGATTAAAACTTTGAGTTACTTGTGCCGGTTTTGATGCTGGCTATCTTATCAGTTGCAAACAATTGGTTCTGTTGATTGGATCTATGTTTGTAGACCATAAACCCTACAATCTTTCTTCGTAAAATGTCGTCTAAAATCAAAGCATACTCCTGAACCCCAAACCCAACCTTAGAATGCCTTGAGGCCTCCTGTTACTCAACAATCTTCTGTTATTAAAAGATCTATTTTATTCTTAATTCTATGCCGCGTTGCTAACTTTCTTATCTCCTGCAACGAATTGGTTATATTTCTACTCTGTTCTGTTCCTTTAAATCTGTTATTTTGTTTATTCTATGCTGTATTGCCAACTATCTATATTTGCAAGCAATTGGTTCTTTTGTTAATTCTTCATTCTTTTAGTGCTGTATGCTCTATTGCTTATGCTAGTCTGCTTTCTACTGCACTGCATTAAAAACGAATTAAAAAAAATTAACAATTATTCATGCAATATATGACCTTTAAGCAACAATGGATTCAATCAACCAATAACACAAAAGTATATTTTTACAAGTTCTATCAAAAGTATATGCACTGTAAAATTTGAGATTGTATATTTTATTCAATATTTCGGAATCGCGCGATCACAACAATAATATTGGATAAATTTTACCTAAATTTTGAATAATTTTGTTTACCAATTAGAATCCAATAGGACAATAATATTCCTATTTATTGAATATTTAATTCAAAACTTTGGAATAAAATACGTAAATAATCACGCGTTGACAATGCGAGTGATTTTTATACAACTGAATTGAATATATTATACAAAATTTAAGAATACCACTGTCCGTGCAGCGGTGCTTCAACCTAGCGGCANCGCATGTGCAAAGCGAAATTTTTACTTTACGCATGCGCAGAAATGTCGTCTTAAAAATATATTCAATATTTTTGTATGTTTCAGTAATAAATAATGATATACAATTTTAAACAGTTTTTTAGAATAAAATATTCAATTTTATTTATTTTTTTTATTTTCTTTATCATTATAGTTTTCTTAAATTCAAAAATAATGAATGTTTGATTCAAAATCCTTGAATTTTTTATCCCAACCCCTAGTATATAATTATTAAATAAGATTGAATATATATGTATTTGGTTTAGTAATTCCTTTCTAAATGTTACAGTATTTTTGAATTTAAAAAAAATCTATTTTTGGGCAATTTAAATACAATAATAATGAATATTATTTACAAAAATATTGATTCGAATATAAAAAAGATCCAACTTTGCTCGCTTAATTTTACAGTGTGGAGTAGTAGTATATTTAAACAACAAGCATCAGAGACCCCCAAGGCCATCTCAATTCTTGAACAACTTTTAGCCCGTTAACTGGAAATTTCAGGAACCCTGTGGAAAAGAAACATGACACATATTGCAACCTTAAGTCTATTTGACGTTGTTATAATGCAAATAGTTTAAAAAATCATTTATTAAAGGGATAGAGAAGGAGACAAGTGACCAGTATACTGCACTCTCATTGGTGGGAGTTCTTGTGACGTAATACAGACGTATAGATAATATTATCAATTATATCTATAAAAAATTAAAATAAAAATTATAAATTTATTATTGCAGAAAATCTAACTTACATTTATGTTTATCTGGCCGGGATATCATTGTTTTCAGATTTGTTATGAAATTATTTGTTTAAACCTATTTCTACACAAAATGGTATAAGTATTTTCATATAAATTTGACACAATTTTTATATCAATTTCTCGAGACAGGAAGACCAGATATGACTTTCATGGGTTGCTATCGAGAGCTA